ACCACCCTAAACCAGAGGTGTAATAATGGAACTCCCATGGCCTGAACTGAACATTAATCTAGATTTTTGTGCTCAAGCTGAATACTCCAGTTCTGCTGAGTTATTAGATGTGCTGTCTTTCAGGTGAGACATTAAACTGAGCCTCATCTGCCCCCTTGGGTGAACATAAAATATGTAATTATATAAATTTAAAGATGAACAGAAAATTTATCCATGAATTCTCGATCAATATTTTTGCCTGAATCAGCCTGCCAGATCACATGGTCATTATTGCATTGCTGTTTGTGGAAATCTTTTGGCCATGTGTCCTACGTTATAACGGTGATTGTTTTTATAATAGTGACGATGTTTGTTAATTGGTTTGAGCTTTGTTAATTGGTTTGGAATGACTTGTGATAATGAAATGTGCTATGTAAATGCAAATCTCCATCTATTCTGCTCCCCAACGCTGTCCTTCTTGCATAAGCCGCACCTTAAGAGTGTGAATATGCTTTGCTTTAAAAACTCAACTTCAAATTATTTCTTTGAATGCCCAAAACATCAAAAATATTATAAAAGAAGAATGACTGTTGAAAATCTGAAATGAAAATGGAAAGTGCTGGAGAAGCTTGGCAAGTCTGGCTGCATCTGCAGAGAGAAAGAGTTAGCATTTCAAGAACAGTGACTCTTCTCCGCTACTCTAACGAAGGATGATATCGGACTTGAAACATCAACTCTGTTTCTCTTTCCACAGATGCCATCAGACCACTTACATTTCTCCGGTATTTTCTGCTTTTAATCCAAAATCAGTCTATTTGCTTTTGAATGTCTAGAACTAAATAATGCTCACAGATGAAATTGTGAACAGTGGTTGTGTGGAATTGTTAAGGCAAGCTGTTCCAGTACAGCTATAGCATGGATATCCACCCAACAATCTGGAAAGTTTACCTGGTATGTCCTAGAGAGACAAAACACAAAAAATACAAACTGGCCAATTACCATTTTATCAAACTGCTCTCAATCATGAGTGATGGAAGGTGTCATCAATAATGCTACTACATATAATGATTCTTGCTCGGGAATAACATGCTGACCTTGGGTTTTGCCAGAGCCATGCTCCAAATCTCATTACAACCTTTGCCTAAACATAAATGCTGAATTATGGAGTTAAAATAAGAATGGCCACCCCTCAATGTTCTCTGCTCCAAGGAAAACAATCCCAGTCTATCCACTCTCTTAAAATAAGAATGGTTGGTTACCTTTGTCAAAGCGATATTTGATCGAGTGTGGCAAGATTGAGCTCAGTGGGAATTGGCATAAAATCTCTCCACTAAGTGAATTCTCCAACACAGGCAACATCCTGATAAATATCCTCTGATCCAATCACATCCTTCCTATAATGCGCTGAATTCCAGAACCCCACACAGTACTCTACCTGTGGCCTAAACAATGTTTTATACAGTCCCTGCATAATCTCCCTGTTCTTAAACTCGGGACAGCTAATAAAGGCAAGTATCCCAAATGCACCCTTAACCACTTTATCTACCTGTTCCGCTACCTTACAGGTTCTGTGGACATGACATCAAGGTCTTTGTGATAATCGGTGTGAACTAGAGTTCTACCATTCACGTAATCCCTTTCCTTGTTTGTCCTGCCACGGGTATCGCCTCACATTTGTCCACTGATCAGCCAATTGTACCAGCCTGTCTGTATTGTCCTGCTATCTAAGGTCTACCCTCGTCACTATTTTGGACCATTTTTGTATTATGTGCAAGCTTACTGATCAACAGTTCTACAAGCCGCAAAAACAACCCTCAAATCCTCACCTTCTACTACTTGCCACTAAGCCAATTCTGGATTCAATTAACCAAATTTCTTTGGATCCGAAGGGCTGTTAGCTTCACGATCAATCTCCCTGGCGGCACCTTATCAAAGGCCTTGTTGAAGTCTAAGTGGATTATGTCTAACCTTATGTTGGATAGAAGGTCAGCTGCAGATGGTTGGGCATAGGACATTAGCCTAAGGATCTAGAGGGCTCTTGTGGCACAGTGGTAGTCTCCCTACCTCTGTACAATGAGGCCCAGGTTCGAGTTCCACCTGCTCCAGAGGTGTGTCATTAACATCTCCGAACAGGTTGGTTAGAAAATATCAATCCAAGGAGCTGCTGTAAAGTCCTGAGGTTGAGACGGCTGGCCTCCGATATCTACAACTATTTTCATTTGTGCTACGTATGATTTCACCCAGTGGAGAGATTTCCTGCCGATTCCCACTGACTTCAATCTTGCTTCAGCTCTTTGCCACACTCAATCAAATGTTGCTTTGACAAAGGCAACCGTTCTTAAAAAGTGAAAGAACTGCGGATGCTATAAATCTGGAACAAAAACAGAAGTTGCTGGAAAAGCTCAGCAGGTCTGGCAGCATCTATGAAGAGAAAATCAGAGTTAACGTTTCAGGTCCGGTGAGTTCTGAGGAAGGGTCACCGGACCTGAAACATTAACAACCATTCTTATTTTACAGATTGGATGGACTGGGATTGTTTCTTGGAGCAGAGGAGATTGAGGGGTGGCATGATTGAGATGTATAAAATTTTGGACAGTGTAGATAGGATAAGCAAGAAACACCTTTTCCCTTGGTGGAGGGACCAGTGACTGGGGGCATAGATTCAAAATTAGGGAATGTGACCACGGTTTTTCTTTTCACCCAGAGGGCCACGGGAATCTGAAACTCTCTGCCTGTAAGGTTTGGTAGAGATGGAAGCTCTCATAACATTTAAGCTATTTAGATGTGCACTTGTGATGCCAAGGCATAAAAGGTTGCCTTCATTGCTCAGAACGTTGAGTGTAGGATTTGAGACGTCATGCTGTGATTGTACAGGATGTTGGTGACGCCACTTCTGGAGTATTGTGCTTGCTATAGGAAGAAAATGATGAAATTGGAGAGGGTGCAGAAAAGATTTACGAAGATTTTGCTGGTACCCTGGAAGGTTTGAGTTATAAGGAGAGACTGGATAAGCTGGAACTTTTTTCATTGGAGTGGAGAAGGCTGAGGAGTGACCTTGTAGAGGTTTCTAAAATCATGAGGGGTATAGATAAAGTGAATAGCGAAGGTATTTTCCCTCAGGTTGGTGAGCTCAAAACGAGAGAGCATCATTTTAAGGTGAGGAGAAAGATTTAATAGGGAGCTGAGGGGCAACCTTTACAACACAGGATAGGGAATAAACTGCCACAGGAAGTGGTAGGTGCAAGTACAGTTACAACATTAAAAGACATTTGGACAGACACATGAAAAGGAAAGGTGTAGAGAGGTATGGGCAAATGCAGGCAAGTAGGACTAGGTTAATTTGGGAAATTTGTTTGACATGGGTGAGTTGCAGCAAAGGGTCTGTTTCTGTGCTGAATGACTCTGACTCTATCCATGGCCAAGTGCTGGTAAATGGAATTAGAATAATTTGGTGCTTATGGCCAGTGCAAACTTGATAAATGAGGGGCCTTGTTCTGTGCTGTTGATCTCTGTAACTCTGGTGTTTTCTATAATCGTCAGTGTTCGATACTATTCACAACTCTTGTGGTACTGAAGTAGTCTATGCTTGCATGACCTGGACAGTATTTATACTTGGGCCACTAAGTGGCAAGTAACACTTATTCTATACAAGTACCAAACAATGACCATCTTCAGTGAGAGAGCATATAACCCTCTTCCCTTAATGTTTAACAGTATGACTATTGCTTAACCCACCCCCATATGCACGTATACGCGTACACATGTACACGTAGGTGCACGCGTGCTCTCTATATTAGCGTCCGGGGAGGGGCGTGACTGTTGGCCAGCAATGTAAATAATGTGTCTATAGAACAGTTCAATGGCTGGACATTTTGCTATAGGTACTCAACTCTTGAAAGTCAAAACCATCTGTAAGTAGTTGGGAGTATGATGTAGTAGACTCCACTTGACTTGGCGATTGCAGGTTCAGTAACACTAAACTTGCTACCATTCAGGACAGAACGGTCAGCTTGATTCCTGGACTCCTTTCATTTCAGTGCTGTATACACCATATATGGCAGGGCTTCCCCAAGTAGGAGGGAGTTGCATGAGAAGTTGTGAACCCCAAGCCATAAATAGTCAGCATTGATCTATGTTTGAGTTTGTAACTGTTGTGCTCCCTCTCTAACAGTCCTGCCTTTCTTGCAGGTTTCATCACCCTATCCTCTTCTGCTTCTATTCTTGTCCCTCCCACCATCCAGCCCCAATACTCAAGTCTCAATTTGCAACACAAAACGGGGTCACAGTGAGGGGAATAAACTGGGAAGCATTGCGATATGGACTGCTCCAGTAAAAGAAGGCAACTTGTCATCAGCTTCTCAATTTTGAATAGGCAATAAATGCCGGCCTTGCCAGCAATCCACTCTTTTCACAAACAAATATTTTTTAAAAAGTAACAGCTGTTGGATTAAACATGCATATGAATAGCATATTGATGTTCCACGTGCCTTCCTTTGGAGAGGGATCTGACCTATGCTTGGTACCTCTGTACAACACAACTGATATTGAATTTGTAATGCTATGGGGATTGAACCATGGCACACATTGTAAATTGTGCTAGAAGAACCAGGTTGTCAAAACATAACTAGGAGCAGAAGTAGAACATGCGGCGCCTTCACTCTCCTCTACTATTCAATACAATCATGCTGATCTTCTGCCACCACTCTACTTTCCTGCTTGCTGTCCATTTCTTTTGATTCCTTAAGATCAAAAATCAATCCGTCGCAGTTTTCAATATATTCTGGAGCATCCATGAAACTGAAAAAAAAAAGTAATGTGCAATAATTTTCTACTGCATTGACTTAATGCAACATTTTGCACATTTCAGTGTTACGTTTGTAGAAAATATCAGCCTGTCCTCTGCAGTGATTACTTTGCATGTGACCTCATTACAACCTTAGTCCAAGCATGGACATGGACAAAAGGTCTAGAAGTGAGATTGACTGCCTTTGACATTAGAAGACGTGAGCTCCTGGCTGACTATGGCATTCAGGAGCTCCAGTAAAACTGAGGTAAATGAGGATCATAGGGAAAACTCTGCAGTGACTGGAGTTATACTTGGCATAAGGTAAGATTGTTGTGATTGTTGGAGTGGCTAACTATCTTGGCAGTAAGATGTAACTTCAAATGTTCTTTGTCTTGGGGCCTGTCTATTTTAAACAGCTGCATTAATGACTTTTCCAGGGTAGGTGTGTGATGCTTGCTGATGATTGTACTGTCCTCAGTCCAGTTCACGTTACCTCCAGAAAATTAAGCAGCCTAAGCCCAATTGCAGCAAGAACAACAGCTGTGCATGAGCTGCGTGACTAGTGACATTTGTGTCACAATGCCAAATACTCATTCTCATTGGAGATGATTATTAAAACCATCTCCTTGTGTCATTAGGTTGTATTACTTTTGTCAAATCTCCCATCATCAACATTCTGGGGGTCACCAGTAATAAAAAAACAATCATATAATTGCTGAGACCATTAGATTAGATGCAGGTTTAGATTTTGGGCCAGTGACCTTTCATCAGAACTGAGAAAAGTTGGAGGTATGATAAATTTTCAAGCAAGGGGTGGGTGGGACATGGCTGGTGTTAGGCAGTGGGAGATAGTAGTGGTTGAATGACAGAAGAGTTCGTCCTCTACGACCATAGTGAAAGTGAAATTGAGGGGAAAACCAAAACATGCAAAGAAAATGCAGGCAATGTGACGCCATCCATTTTACCTCCTTTCTTCTCAACATGTGCCCCAAACAGATTGTCCAGGCGAAGCATCGATTTGTGTGCTTCCAGTTTAGCTGATTGTATTGACTGCTTACAACACGGTCTCCTCTACACTGGAGAGATTAGATGCAGTTACAGATTATCTCTGCTTTGTCTGCAAGATGAGCTAGAGTTTCTGATGGCCTGTCATTTTAATTGTCCTCCTTGCTGTCATACTGACATCTTTGTCCTTGCACTTTCCAGTGAAGCACAATTTATGCTGAGGAGTGGCCACTTTTAGGCATTTATAGCCTTCTAGACCTAACACTCAGTTCAACAATCACAGGCCTTAAACTCTGTATTTTTAATTTGCATGTATTTTTTCTATTTCACTTCTAGCTCGAAGCAAATTTGCACTAGGTAGATCTTAGTTTCTTTTCTTGCCCCATAATTACTCCCTCTGTCCCTGGAAAACTAACTATCATTCAATCAGTTCTGTCTTCCGTTCTATTATATTACTTCCTTTTTGTCTTAGTCACACCCACCCCTTGTTCAAAACCTATTATTTCTTTAACATTTCCAGTTCTGGGAAAAGAACATCAACTTGAAACATTAACTCTTTCTTTCCCCACAGTGCCTGACCTGAGTACTTCCAGCATTTTTTTGTTTTGTTTTATTTCAGATATCCATCATCCACAGTATTCTGCTTCTACATTAGATCAAAAACTGGGTATTCTACAGCAAATGACTCACCACTTAGCTCCTTGATGTCCTACATGGCACAAGCCAATTCACTTTGGATGGATGCAGCTGTGACAATACTTCAAAGATCAGTGCTATCAAAGACAAAATAATGATCCAATACCCACTAGCACCCAACTCCGTTGAACTCCTGGCTGCAAAATATGCTATGTGCCGTACATCTTGTTACAGGCCCCCAAGGTTTCTCTGGCAGCATACCCCAAACCTACAACTTTTACTTAGGAAGACTTGGGTAACAAACAAATGGGAATATGATAATTTCCAAGTGTTGTCACCTCCCCCTCATCACACACTGTCCAGCCCTGGACAAATGCTGCTGTAATTTTGTTGCTGTTAGGCCAAAATCCTGAACTCCTATCCAACATCATTGTGAGAATATTTCACTGCGTAGGCTGTAGTTGAAGAAGGCGGCTCAATACCAACATCCTCTGAGCATCTGCAAATGGAAGATATAAGAAATGCCCTAGTTCTGCAAGTGAATAATAAAATCACGTAACTTAATGCAAGTATTTATAAGGTGGTCAGTCCAAGATTGTTCGATTTGAGTTTCATCTTGAATGTCACAGGGTTACTGCATTCAAATCTATTCAAGTTAATTAGTATGAGAAATATAATCAATCATGTTGGCTTGAATTAAACTGGTGAGAATGGCTGCTCTTACCATCATGTCCGTGAGTGCATTTATAAAACACCTTTTGTGAATGCAGATGCATTTATTATAATGTAAATGTGTGCAGAGCTTTTCCTTACTTAAGTATTTTGTGAATGTGATGATGTTTGAACTGTGTTCAGATCTGGTTTGAAGACATTTTAGAATATTATTATACTGCCTTGTTAATGCTTTAAATCCTAACATGAATGTGGTGTTGTTCCAGAGGACGCAGCAGTGGAAAAGGACCTTCACAGTCTACTGTAAGTACAAAGTTTTGCATGTAAATATTTTATTATAGTTTCATACATGTTTGTGACCTGCTAAGTACATGACTAAAAGTTGATTAAGTATTTAATATTGAACATTTTTCTGAATCTGTGTTATGAGCACTTGTATTGGCATGCTGGTAACTTGCTTAAAAATATGCTTGTCATGCTGAATTAATTCCATTCAGTTTTGTTTTGTATTTGTAGAAAATGTGTAACTAACTGGAATCCAAAGTATGACTTTGACTTTGACTTCGCTGTGGTCTTCAGTGAAGTAGGATTTTGTTCCGTCTTGTGTTTTGTTATTATGAGGAAGAGTCATTGGACTCAAATCGTTGACTGTTTCTCTCTCCAAAGATGCTGCCAGACCTGGGTGTCTCCAGCTCTTTGTTTTTATTGTTATGATCTTGTAGTTAGTAAACTTGTATTGGTTGCCATGTGCGTCAAAAATCTGTCTTCTGACATCCAGCAGAGGGTGTTGTTCCTGTGTGAGTATTGTTGCCATTCCAGTTTTAGAAAGGAGCCAAGAAATGTACAAACATTGAAAGCTTTACATTAGTTTTCTCCATCAAAGCAAACTCCAAATCCTAAGTCATTGGATTTGTAGTAGTTGCATTTGGCCCCTTATTTATTTTGTCTTCTGTTCAGTTTTGAATTTAGCCAAATGTGACAGCGCATAAAGATATAAATTATGTATAAAGCAATGTGAGCGTGTATTGCTAGCAAGCTAATTCTGAAATCCTGCCATGCCCTTTCAGTCAAAGTTGTTGGGTGAGCATTCAGGAGCAATCATGATTTTTCAAACCAAGTTTGTAGTTCCTCCCCAGCCCTCTCCAACGTTGTGTGAAGTCTGTAACAATAGTTGATAAAATCTTTGCAGGCTTGAAAACAACTTTGTTGTTGCCCTGTGCGGATGGGTTCAGTCCAGTACTGCCTTTTCTCAAGCAGCAATATTTGCATGAGAATGGTGCTGTCCATTTGTAATAATGAAAACAACAATTTAAGTCTGTTTATGCATTATAAAACTTTTTCACTGTGCAGAAGTCTACTTTGCCATAAACAGTGCTGTAAAATAAATATATCTTCTGTATAAAATTCCCATCATGCTGGCATAACAATACCATTTGAATGTCCATGCATTTAATATACTTGGTTATGTACTCGCCAGTCTCCTGATCTGAAAGTTTCATTTTTTCAGTACAATGGAACCTATACCTGTAGTTTTTTTTTGGTATCTTCAGCAGCCCCTCGGGTTAATGTACTACGATATCTAAGTAATGCTGAATGATTAAATAATTCAGTTTTAGGCCTATGACAATAAGGTAACTACTAATGAACTTTAACCATGAGGTGTTTATTAATAAAGTCATGAAAAGAGGGAAATATCAGCAAAGTACAAATTGTAACTTTTGTTGGAAGTATAAGCAGTAAAGTAATCTATAAAATGAAGTGGAATGCTGCTGGATGAAACAGAACAAAATCTGGTTGCTGTCCCTTTGCATACAAAGGCATTTCAATGGGATACTTCTGAAGGTTGCATAGAAGTTGAACATTACGTTAAGCAGTTTGCACAAATAGTCCAGACAAAAAGATCAAAGGAACCTCTTTGATATTGTGTAGGATTATGAAAGTGTTTGATCAAATAGATATAGTTACTGTGTTTATGGTAATGTTGCATGCAAAACTAAAGAACACAAATATAAGCTAGTCCCTGATAAATAGTCAGAATAATCTTAGTAGTTAGAATGGAAATTGTGATGAATAGTACAAATGCTGTTGAGGAGCTGGAGGAACACAGCAGAGCAGGCAGCATCAGAGGAGCCGGATAGTTGATGTTTTGGGTCTGAAATGTCAATTTTCTGCTCTTCTGATGCTGCCCGGCCTGCTGTGTTCCTCCAGCCCCACGCTGTTGTCTCTGACTCCAGCATCTGCAGTTCTTACCCCTCCTCAACAGCAGAGATAGTATGTTGAGAGCACAGAGGGGAAATGTATAGAAGGGTACACTTGGAATTACCTGAGAAAGGAGCAGGCTTGTGTGAGCATAAGTATGGATACAAACCGGTTGGACTGAATAGCCCAATTCTGTATTTCAGAATACTATTAATGCTGTTCACTGTCATGTTGGCAGCCATAGGGAAAAGCCACTGTTGCTACTATTACAGCAGAGAAGGTATATATCCTGAGGATACGTAGCATATATGGTCAAAGGAAACTATGCACGTGCAGATTTAATACAGAACTGGATGGTGAATGCTTTTCAGCAATTCTCTTTGCTGAATGCTTTGCCAACATTAATATGGTTGTTAAGAAACTCATTTGTTGGTGAAAATTGATAGTTTAGTTAAAATAGTGGGAGTGATAATTAGCTAATTTCAGATCATGATTATGGTTGTAAACTATTCAAAAATGCTTTGGAAAATTAGAACAGTAATAGATCATCTGACAATCATAATTACATCAACAAGCTGTCTGTGGAAATGTAGACAAAAATCCATGAAACAGATCAAAGCAGACTCAGTAGTTGGGGTTTTAAATGTACACCAGTTTCATGTTTGGAAGTGAAAATTGTCTGATGCTAGATCTTTTTGGCACCCAATTATCTACCTCTGATTCGAACTTCAGATTTATGTTAAGGTACCACAAAATCAGGATGTGAAGCTTTATTTTTGAGCTAGTGTTCCACTGGGAAAGTGGTTTAGAGGTAGAGATCCTGCATTTTAAATTTTGCTAGTCTTATGTGGACTTTGTATTGATTCCAGTTTAAATTTAACTGGAAATGATGTTAACTTGGAGAAAGTTGCCAAGACACATTAAAGAAGTTCAGCTGGTTCCATTTGAGTCGTAGCACTTAAATCTCTCCTAAAATACAATAGGGTATGTGGCCCAATCTTTGAAAAAATTAAGTCATGTTTCATAGTATTCCAGAGCTATGTAATTAAAGGATGTGTAAGTAAATGTAAGGGATGAAATAAATCACGAATTTATTCAACATTCAGTAAACTTTTGAGAACTGGGATTAAACCTGTTTGATCTGCATTGAACCCATGATTCTTTGCATGCATTGGATGAACTTTGGCATTGCTCTGTGGGATTAATACTCTGGTTAGAGAACCAGGAGCAAAAGAATACCTAGGTTTAATCAGAAGGCATGTACTGCTGTTACTTATTTGAAATGGGCACTGACGGGATACGTATATTTCTGTGTTACATTTTTGCATTGTTAATGCTGATGATGTACATTGTTTGGCAATTTACTGGTAAGTTTTGTGTTAAGTCCAGAATCTTCTTGGTAAATGAACATGTGGAATTTATTTAGCTAGGGCAATTTATTATATTCAGTTTCAAGTAGAAGAGAAAATTGAAAGCCTATGAAAGAGAAATCTTTAGGATTGCACTAAATTGGGCTGCAAAAACTGATGAACTGGCAGTGTCGTTGGAAGAAGAGAGAGAAAAATGTGAATAATTTAAGATGCTTTTGGCCCAAAGCACTGTAGGCTATGGAAATGTAAGTGGAAAACCTAAATACTGCTTAAATGTTGTGTTTTTGACTCGACCACCTATTCAGCATGAAGTTCCAGACTTCCACCACCCTTTGAGAGAAAAATATTATCCTCAACTGTCCACTTAGTCTTCTACCTCTTAACTTAAACCTATGCTCATTGTTAATGACTCTGAACCAATGGAAAAAAGTGCCTTCTATCCATTCTACCTATGCTCCTGTATAATTTTGTTAGCTGTATCAGGGCCTCTCTCAACCTTCGCTCCTCCAAAGAAAACAATCTCGGCCTATCCAATCTTTCCTTAGTTCAGTCCCTCCAGCCCAGGCAGCATTCTAGTCAATCTGCTCTGCAGCCTCTCATTGAGTCACATCCTTTCTATAATGCGGTGACCAGAACTGCATATACTCCCAGTTATGACCTAACCAGCATTTTATACAGTGCCTCCTTGCTCTTGTATTCTGTGTCAGTTAATAAAGACACAAAACCCATATCCCTTTTAACCGTATCAATCTGTCCCACTACCTTCAGGAATCTGTGGACGTGCACTCCAAGGTCTTTCTGATCTTCAGTGCTTTTCAGGGTCCTTCCGTTCATGGTTCAAACTTTTTTATTTGAATTCCGTTTACCACCATTCTGCCCACTTGACATACATTATTGATATCCTCCTACAGTATACAGCTATCCTCCTACTGTGTACATCTATCCTCCCAACTATTTTCCACACGACCGATTTTCATATTATCCTCTCTGATGAATGTTTTTGGTTCGTGATTAGGTGCAGTAGTTACTTATTTTCCCTTCTGCCTGTCCTAACAACAATGTATCTCATGACTTATTACATATTAACTAGCTTGATACAGGCCATCTTTAAATCTGATGCATTCCTTGACTGTGAACTCCAGTACTGATGTAGATTGTTGAGTTGGTCGTTACACTATTGTTGAAGCACAATTGAATTATTTTTAGAAAAATTTAGAGGCTGTTGCAACAGTCATTACTATTTTTATGGTGAGAGAGCTTGACTGTCATACAAAAAAAAACTCACCTAATGTATCTATCTGATGCCTTCACTGAGGATATATGTGGCTGATTGAGTCATTACGAAGAAGTATTTGTATTTGACGATGGTTTAATATTGTAATTCTGTTGCTCATTGATATGAAGCACTCCCTTTCTGTTCTTCATTCGTGCATTTCCTTGTGCATTATCTTGTGCATTTTTTTTAAAATTAGAACTCCTCTTACCTTAGCACTTTTAACAGGACCAAAGAAATGCTTTGTTATATCTGGAGAGTGTAACAAGCTTGTATATTGACTTTGGGTCAACTGTCCACTAACTGTGGCTAATTGATGTGTCAAATTGGAACATCTTCATAGTCATACAGCACGGAAGCAGACCCTTTGGTCCCACCGGTCCTTGCCGAACATAATCCCAAACTAAACTAGTCCCAACTGCCTGTTCCTGGCCCATATCCCTCATAAACCTTTCTCTTCATGTAGTTATCCAAATGTCTTTTAAATGTTGTAGCTGTACCCACATCTGCCACTTCCTTAGGAAGTTCATTCCACACGCGAGCCACCCTCTGTGTAAAAGAAGTTTGCCTCGTGTCTTTTTTAAATCTCTCCTCTCACCTTAAAAACGTGTCCCCAAGTCTTGAAATCCCTCAACCGAGGGAAAAGACAACTACCATTAACTGTATCTATACCTCATTATTTTATAAACTTCTATTAGGTCACCTCTCAACCTCCTACGCTCCAGTGGGAAAAAGTCCCAGCCTTTCTTTATAACTCAAATCTTCCATACCCAGCAACATCCTGGTAAATCTCTTCTGAATCTTCTCCAGCTTGGTAATATCCTTCCTATAAATTGGCGACCAGAATTGGACACTGTATTCCAGAGGAGGCCTCACCAATGTCCTGAACAACCTCAACATGATTTCCCAATTCCTATACTCAAAGGACTAAGCAATAAAGGCAAGCGTACCAAATGCTTTTTTTAATCACCCTGTCTATAAGTGATCCAATTATGTACCTGTACCCCGAGGTCCCTCTGTTCTACAACACTACCCAATTAAATCTACGTTTGTCGCAATCCATTCTCGAGATCGTTTAAAAAAATCAAATGCACCTATACGGTTTTCTCTGGGATGAGAACTTAAGCATTGCAATGATGGTTACACTTGAACTACTTGGTGCCAAAACTGTTAGTAAATTAATCTATCTTAGGATGTTTTATGTAGTTTATACAAATGGACACAGTTGTAAAGTTGTGTACCTTTAACCAGAATGGAGAAAAGTATTTTTGTTATGTGGTAAACATTGCAATACTTGAAGGAAAATTGAATGGGTTTGGCAAAATTTACTAAAATTTGGATATCCTATTTTGAAAAGATTGCATGATAGGCACTTTTTTTGAAGTAGTACAAGTTGAATATCATTAGTCTATTTGATCTAATATTTGTTATGTTAAACGGCAGTGGTAGACAATGAATTGTTTTGAAGATATTTGTTTACTGAGTCCTGAATACGGTTTTTAAACAACTTGTATGTGCAATCAAAACATAGAATTTACTTTTCTTAGTTAATTTAACACGCTAATTAATATATCTTAAATTTTATCTCTCCACAGATTCCATATGATGGAATATATGCAAACATGCGTATGGTCCACATTCTTACATCAGTCGTAGTAAGTACACATTTATGCGCAAGTTTTTATCTTGATTCTTAACATCATTGTTTGCTTGAAAAAATGCGTAAGTGCACCTTTCCACATTAATATTAGTGTTCTGCCTCCTTTCTGTAAACTTGTGTGTTTTTCAAATACTATTTTTAATGGTAATGTAGCTTGTCTGTTATAAAATGTTCCATGTGTCAATAACTTGGTGACAATAAGTTTCTAGATAACAAGGTGCAGGGCTGGATGAACACAGCAGGCCAAGCAGCATCATAGGAGCAGAGAGGCTGGCGTTTTGGGCCTAGACCCTTCTTCAGAAAAGGGGGAGGGGAAGGGGGTTCTGAAATAAATAGGGAGAGAGTGGGAGGCGGATAGAAGATGGATACCACCCCACCAACCTCCGGATCCAACGCATCATCCTCCGACACTTCCGCCATCTGCAATCCGACCCCACCACCAAAGACATCTTTCCCTCCCCACCCTTATCTGCTTTCCGGAGGGACCACTCTCTCCGTGACTCCCTTGTCCGCTCCACACTCCCCTCCAGCTCCACCACACCCGGCACTTTTCCCTGCAACCGCAGGAAGTGCTACACCTGCCCCCATACCTCCTCCCTCACCCCCATCCCAGGCCCCAAGAAGACTTTCCACATCAAGCAGATGTTCACCTGCACATCTGCCAATGTGGTATACTGCATCCGCTGTACCCGGTGTGGCTTCCTCTACATCGGGGAAACCAAGCGGAGGCTCGGGGACCGCTTTGCGGAACACCTACGCTCGGTTCGCAATAAACAACAGTACCTCCCAGTCGCAAACCATTTCAACTCCCCCTCCCATTCCTCAGACGACATGTCCATCCTGGGCCTCCTGCAGTGCCACAACGATGCCGCCCGAAAGTTGCAGGAACAGCAACTCATATTCCGCTTGGGAACCCTGCAGCCCAATGGTATCAATGTGGATTTCACAAGTTTCAAAATCTCCCCTCCCCCTACCGCATCCCAAAACCAGTCCAGCTCGTCCCCACCTCCCTAACCTGTTCTTCCTTCCACCTATCCCCCCCCCCTACCCCCAACTACACCCCCATCTCCTACTTACTAACCTCATCCCACCCCCTTGACCTGTCCATCCTCCCTGGACTGACCTATCCCCTCCCTAACTCCCCACCTACACTCACCTTTACTGGTCCCATCCCCGCCTCTTCGACCTGTTTGTTTCCTCTCCACCTATCCTCTCCTCTATCCATCTTCTATCCGCCTCCCACTCTCTCCCTATTTATTTCAGAACCCCCTTCCCCTCCCCCTTTTCTGAAGAAGGGTCTAGGCCCGAAACGCCAGCCTCTCTGCTCCTATGATGCTGCTTGGCCTGCTGTGTTCATCCAGCCCTGCACCTTGTTGTCTCGGATTCACCAGCATCTGCAGTTCCTACTATCTCTGATTCAATAAGTTTCTAGATCCCTGTTTGAGTCTCAGCCAGCTTAATATTCATGAACCATGTAGTGGCACTTTTTACTTAGTACCCTATTAGCTTAACACGGTGATAGCACTTTCCTCTCAATCGAAATTATAGATTCATGTACTACAATCAATCCTACACTTTAGTACAGGGCTCTTGTGCAGTGCCTACCTCTGGAACGTGAAGTCTGGGTTCAAGTTCCACCTCATTCAAAGATGTACAATACTGTCTCTTCAATGCCGCTTCAGCGGAATGCCACGGTTTTTGAAAGTGCTTTCATTTGGAGGAAATGTTAAACTGGTACACAGTATTTCAGTTTATAAAATCCACATAGAATCCCTACAGTGTGGAACCTACACCGATTCTCTGAAGGTCATTTAACCCTCCCCCAATTCCCCTATCTGACAGCACCCCCCACCATTTCCCCCTGCAATACATGTGTTGCAGTGATTCAAGAATGTAGCTCACCGCTACCTTTTTCTGTGGTACAAATGAGGGATGGGCTAAAAATGCTTACCTTACCAGTACACATCCCAAAACCGATACAAAAGAATTAACTGGCAGTTTGGCATTTCTTGCCCCCAAGTAGTATCATTTGAATATTTATTTCTAATTGTGGGTCATCCATAAACTGAGTATTCTTGCTGGGTATTCATCTCCTTTTATGTAATTGATAAAATCACATTGAATTTACAACTTATAAAGAGGCTGTTTGTCCCTGACATTGTTGATTGTTCTTGTGAGCAGTAATCTGAGTGGATGCTGTTTTTGCATGTTGAGATGGGCTCTGCTTAAATCACCTAACTCATGCTGTGCATTTATTCCCATACCACTTGTGACTTTTCTTTGCTCTTTGTTCTGAATGTCTTGCATTTAATGTGGTATCAATTTCTGTGGTTTTTAGACTTGTCACTTAGTCAGAATTGTTGCTATCCTGTTTACCTGATTGAGTATTCTCCATTGTTCAAACAAAAAGTAGTTGTTAGTTTTTCTTAGTATTTGTATTTCCTAATACAGGCAGCAGGACGAGTGAATGTAAAATTGGACATGATGGCATTGGCATCATGCCTTGCTGTGTACTTGGTACTGTTGGAAATTTGCTCTCAGATGTTGACACACTGGGTGGCCCATTCACCTGCTGGTCAGTTTGAGGCCCCTAAGTGGCTAATTAATGATATCTCCTGCTACTGGGATTTTGTCACAGCCAAGAAGGCTGGATTCGTGGGTGTGACTTTTTTTGGGGGATGGGGGAGGTGTTGTAGTGTCATACCTTCTGTTCAGGTACCCTCTGACCCTAATAAAACTCTGGGTTTTAGGCCCTCTAATAACATATCTAGTAATGAATATTCACTCCCTCATCTAGCCCTACTTGATGCAAAGATTTTCAGACTGCGGCATCATTGTAATTAACCAACTTTATTTGAAAATTCACAAAGCATTATAAAATAAACATTTAATGCTCTTCATTGCCCGTTTCCTTTTCCTTTTCCTTAAACCATCTTTCTCATTAATCCCTATCCTTGAAGCAGAAAGGATAAGAAATTTCTGCCCATAACATCCTGTGAATTAATCTGTCGCTATTTTTCATGTGTACTGTTCATAGCTCCTCACCATATGCTTGAAGACTTTTTGTCTTGCTCACCTACATTTTAAAATATATTTTTAAAAGGACATGTGGGCATCGGGCAAGCGTGAGGTAGTGTGACCATATTACAAGACCCAATTACGGTCAAAGAAAACCAAGAAACAACCTGTGTTAATAGCACTGCAGCATCTCCTGGGCATAATCAAGAAATCAGGATGTGGTCATTTTGAGAGCACATTATACAGGTGGGTCTGAGAATCTATTTACACCATAAATTCTCAGATGCTTTTCAGGTTATTGGATCAATAAAATCACCTATACCCCAAATTCTCTTTGCATTTCAGGGTGAAAATTTGGCCCAAGATTGCTTGAATCGCATTTCTGCCAGTATCTAATGTTGGTTAATTGCAATTTGGTGCCAATGTCACTACTTTGGTGTATGCACCCCTTGGAACCCAATTTCCATTGCCAGGGAATCGGGAGGAAACACCAGTGTGCCAGTGAGAAATTGAGAACTTAATTCAATCCTCTGCCTGCCTTGTTAGTTAGATGTATTGGATTATATGGCTGGAGTTTAAGAATGCCTTGGTGGCCCTGCCACTACTGACGGAACGTCAGAAGTTTGTCAAGACTTGCCCCACAGTAATTTTATGGTCGTCCGACTTTTGGCTAGCTCAGAACAGAACTTACAAATTTGAATCATCCCTACTGCTCTGTTTACTTTCCTATAAGGAACTTGGAATTTGGTTCGCTTTAAGTGAAGCTCGTCCCATTTGCTGAGACTTATAGCTAACTGGGACTTGATGCCAGTGCTCCAGAAATTAAAACCCTTTCCCTTTTAAGTATTGTTCTGTGGACCGTGTATTCATCTGCCTGATATGTTCCTGTTTTACTAGCCTAATGTGCAATAACAGGAGTAATGTGGGATTGTTATTTGAGATTTTAATATCTAACTTGATCAAATCTGCTGGAGGACGTGTGCCCAGGTCGAGTACAGATGTACCATCATGCAAGTTGTAATCTCAATTGTCTTGCCATAATAAATGGTTACAGAGGACTTAAATGCACAAAATGAAAGTAGTTTCAAGTCAGCAACTCAAGTTAATGCTGAATTTCACAAACTCGAGCAGTGGTTAGCACAAAAATTCTGACCCAGGTTTCATTTTCAGAACACCAGGAAAAATTGCATCTAACCACCTATTTTCATACCAATCAAATCCTCAAATAGCAAGTACATAAAGCACAAAAAGTACTAACTGTTCATCTTTACTAAATTTAAGTACAATTTAAAATTTACCCATAAACTGTGCAGCTCAGACAGATTCCTTCTCAGTCTGCTGACCTTGCAATTTGACGTGATTTTCCTTCTGGGTTTTGTATATCATTATCTCAGCTGCTGAATTATTTTGTAATTAATTTTGTTTTGTTCCTTTTTCTCTTAGCTGTAGTAGATTATGAAGTATGTTTGAATCAAATGACTTTTTTGAGAAAACGCTTGCTTGAAGGTTATTGCTCTGAAATTGAAATTACTTTAATGGCTTTCAGAAATATTCCAACAACAATTTTGAAAATTGATGTCAACTGCAGAATTTGATTGCAATGGTGCAACTTAATCTGACTTACTTCATTCTGTTATGTCCAACCTTACAGGGTGCAAAATGTGAACTAAAGGTGAAAAATGGTGGGATATATGAAGGTGTTTTTAAGACCTACAGTCCCAAGGTAAGCAAGATGTTTTGTGTATCTTTCAGATTCTTAAATTACACTATATCATAATATAGCTTAATGTAACCCATTTGCATGATGAGAGATTAAGATGGCACTTTGACCAGTTGTCTACACCAAGTTCATGCCTTGACCAGCAGTCTACTTTTATTATAGATGTGCAGAGGTCAGTTATCAACTACTAAAACAATATTGTTTATCTCTAGCACATTTGTATATTTCTAATAACTCACTGCTAATTGCTAAATCATTTAACTCGTTTGTACTTGAAACTATTAATTGTAACAAAACTAATAGTTCCATCTTGCTAAAATGTTTGCTCTGTTTTTGAACTTTTAACTGTTGAGTGAATGCTGTTTATCATTTGATTCTCAATGAATCTATGCATTCTCAATTACAGGCAGTTAAAATCTCTATCTGTTCTTTGGAATCTACCAACTACATGTTGTTTTGCAGTGCTTTTTTGTCCTATTTCACATCCAATGGCAGTGAAATTAATATTTATTGTACAGATAGCATGAGTTCATATGGGGGAAAAAATAATCTGAAAACCGATTTGAAATGTAGAACTTCATGGAAAGTTTATGGAAATCAGCAAAGTTTGATTAACTTTTCAGTTTAAATTTAATTATGTAGGAGACTCAATTTCTCAGCAACATGGCTTTCTCACGACAGGGTAGAACCGCCTGCTGCTCTAACAGTGTCCAATTTTCCAGAATTTTGAATAACAACAAGAATGCCAACCCTGTTCCTAAATTCACTACTGGAAAGGATCCCTAGAAGGGGAATAAGTGCTGTGTATAAATTGTCGCCATTGTGACAAGGAGCAGTTAATTTATGGAAATCCAGAGCGAATATTAGTCTGCAATCAATCCATTACAAAGGATCTGTCCTGTATCCGACTCTAAGATCTGAATAGTGTGGGTGACTTTTAACTGTCCTTGGACATGGCTTAGGAAGCTATTGAATTCTTATAAAGATGGCTCGTCATCAAAATTCAAGATCACTTATTGCTGGGTTTGCTGGTAATGCCCACACCCTAAGGATGAATTTTTTTTTTAAACAATGCTGTAAAAGCTAGGGAAGAAACATAAGGGCAGTTGTCATGAATTTCTTCACTCAAAGAATGATCAATGGGGGATGAATTTGCAGATAGTAATGAAGACAAAATTCCTAGAATCATTTAAGAAGCAGTTGAATTCTACATTGGGGAATATCAGGGTTATTCTGGATGAGTGCTCTTAGAAATACAACTAGAGAATTAATTTTATTAAGGATGTTTTTGGATGTTTTCACTTGATTAAATTTCTTATTGCTACCATTTACATTGTGCATAGCTATATTTTTGAAGTATTGTTAATTTCATTCATAAACATGGTGCCTTGGAAAGGAACAATACTGCTGTTGTTTATCATGGTTTTTGCTTGTTGAGATTTCTATGTTTTGAAATTTGTTTTTCCAGTGTGACCTGGTGCTTGATGCTGCTCACCGAAAGAATGCTGAATCCAGTTCACGAGAACTGGGACCAAAGCGTGAAGATATTGTTGAAAGTATCATTTTTAAATCTGCAGATGTCGTAATGCTGCATTTTAAAGATGTAGACTTAAGTTATGCAAGAAGAGGTATTGACTTTCTAACTTTTTTGCAAATATTTACAAATTGAACTTGCATTTTGCATTAACATTTTTTTAGTGTGTTAAGTTGCTGGGAAGATTCAGAATTGAAATGTTAATTGAGGGAATTCAAACCCTACTTTCCACATGAACTGTGGGTAAAATATAACATTTTCAGATAAGTGACAGTCTAAACATTTTCTGTTCTTGAATACAGATAAAAGAACTTTACATAGACACTCAACATGGAGCATTCACCATCACAAATCAAAAGAGGGCCACTTTTTAGTATCTCAAAACAGTTGGGGATGGGTGGTGAAATACAATCATGAGTATTTACATTTTTAACATTAAATATTAAGTGTAAGGAGAAATTCCATTTAAGTTCAGCTTATCTGCAACATTGCAATTCTTTCAGAACTGAATGCCTTTACGTTTTGATTTTTATTTCTTTTAAATATGTTGTAACCAAAATCTCAAACTATTACAACTGCACTTTGATATTCCGTATTGAACTTCAATGACATACCTGTTAGAACTTGATGTACTGTGTGTCTTTATGAAACTGCCACATTGTGTCTGGTACTCTATCTTTTGTCCACAGAAATTCTTTGCCTGCTGGACTTGACTTGGTGAGATGAGTGTTAATTATTGAGGTGGTGATTCATTGACTGTGGTAGAATCATGTTGAAGGTTTTGAGCATTTTTACATGAATATTCTTAGTATGGTTCTTTCAAGTGTTTCCGTGCTCCTAGAATAATTGAGCGTTATATATAGGTGCAATGTTTGTCCTCATTGCCCTTTCCTCTAACTGTGCACCATTACCCTTTCCAATATTTATCAGTTTGGCTAAGTGGTAAACGTAGCATTAGTTTTCACATGCATGCTGATGACACCCAGTACTACTTCAACATCTGTCTAGATTCCTCCATTGTGGCTAAATTAACCAATTGTTCACCAAACATCTAATAGGTTACCAGACTGCTTGTCAAAGTCTAGTATTAGATCAGAAAGTTCTTAGAATTAATTATTGAAGCCATTGTTTTTAGTCCCCAAAGCAAACTCCATTCCCCAGTCATACTTTCTCATACTTTCACACCCTAATATGGCTGTACCATCAGCAGTTACACCTTTTGGATGATATGTTAAAACAAATGCCCAACTGTCCTTTGAGGTGAATGTGTGGCACAATTGACAAAAAGGGCAGCAAATTCTCCTTGTGTCCAAGCCAGTATTCCTATCTCTGCTAAGACTCAATTTCTGTTTTTCAAAAACTACTTAGTACTTACTTTCTGGAGTGGGAAGCTTCTGCTTTACCCTAACTGTTGAGAAAAGCTGCTTTAATCCTCCAAGAAGAATACTGCAAACCACATTGTTTGCAATGATTGAGATAGGTACAAGTGTCCCTCAAGGTTATTATCCACTTTCTGGACTCCCAGCTGGCGACATACCATCTGGAACTGAATGCAACCTTTTCTTCGACTTCTAGTTCAGTTTAGGAAACCTGGTCAGCATGGGCGAGTTGGACCAAAGGGCCTGTTTCTGTGCTGTATGACTCTGACTGTGTAGCTAAGAAGTGATCTTGTGATTCCCACCCACCTTTCCTCCTCACTCCCTTTTCCACCATGAAACCAAATGCATTTACTCTATTTTAACATCTAGTAGATTAAGATTTAAATAGTGACTGGAAGCCTGATCAATATGCATGAAGCCTCAAAACAATATCCTTGTCTTTGAATTTTATATTCATCCTTTCATGTTACTATGTAGCTAAGCAGCTTGAAACTTGGTCTGAATTTCATAGCCCTTTGAAATGCTATTCAGTCTCGATGCATTGTTCATTCGTTAAAAATGCTACCAGTGCTCATGCAGAGAAAATTCTTTCCGTGGTAAGATTTTTTTCTGTTCTCAAGTTCTCAATGTCTGATTGTAAATTAATTTACAGATGTAAAAATAACCATGCACCTGAGAAAGCTACGCTTTCCTGAGCATTGTTACCTTGCTGCTTGAGCATGGAAGTTGGCAGGAGTTGACCTTTGTTCGTCCCTGTAGATATGTTACCTTGTGTTTTGGGTGGACCATTTTCTCACTTCTGTCTTTGATTAGCCATCAGAAGATTGGTTAGGGCAATCCAGGGCAATTCTCCAATTTATTGCTATTTGATGAGGGAATTGAATAAAGCAACTTTCTTCAGGAATAGAGGTTGTGTGTAATTAGTAAGCTATCTAATTGTAACAGTCTGTGTTTAATTCCAGTTTTCCAACTTCATGTAGAATTGTGGAATGGCTACTGTAATGAAGGATGTGACCATTCCATAATTTCCATGCCAGTTCTTTGTGAGATCAGTTTAGCTAGTTCCATTTCTCACTTTTTTTTCCTCTGTGGTCCTGCTAGTTTTTTTTCTTCTTCGTCTTTTGAAAGCCTTTATTGAATCTGTCTCCGCTATACTCTCAGGAAGTGCATTTCGGATCCAAACCATCATCATCCGTGGGTTTACCATTTGCCAGAGACATAATTGAACCAGCCAGAAGAATACTATGTGCGTAAGAGCATGTCAGAGATTGTAAACTCTGGGGCAAGTAACTCTCATCCTATCTTAACAAAACCTCCCAACCATCTACAATTCAGAAGCATGGTGGTGTGCTGTCTACTTGCATGGGCTAGTGCACCTCCAATGTCGCTGAAGTAACGCTTTTCACTACTGGCGTGCAGTCGCAACAGTGACACCAT